GATAATTAGTTAATTGATCATGATATCCGGTTCTTGGTGTTTTGGTCGGGGTGGCCGGTCTGTGGGGGTGGCCAGTCTTTGGGTGACGGACGTTAAGTAATATCGTGGGTCGAAAAAAAGCAATGAAAGGAAAGGAAAAGTCTATCAACAGCCAACAATCTTCATCGTCCGGACTAGACGCTCCAAGTCCAGGATCCTGTATTCTAGACGCGCCCTGGAATTTACTACTGAACTGACAAATTGGCTCACAGAAGCTTTTGTGGCTTTCTGCAGTCCAGTTTCAGTGGCCATCCAACGCCACTGAAGCCCTCGTGTCTAGCGCATCATCACTCATGGAACAAGGACGTGGAGAGACGGAGTCAGTAGGGATATATGCCTGTTAATTGTACCAATGCACCGGATCCCAATTCCGCCACTGCAGATTCATTCAACCACTAGCTTTAGTGTGCCCAGTATCTGTATGTACGACTCGGATCACCGCCTTCCACTAGCTTTTCTGAGGCCCCAGGGTTCTTCCCTTGTACCCGGCAAGCCTGGACCAGCATTGGATGCACAACTAACTCCTGCTGAGAATTGAATCTTGTTCTAGTGGACATTGATCACCAGGTTATAAACTACTGCATCCCTCGCATACAGGTCATTTCTCATGTTGTGTTGTGTTTCATATCGACTTCTACAGTTCCCGTTATCTGGGGTAACTTGATTTCACTCTCTTCATACGAACAAACCAACACCGGCGAGATCAAGTCACTCTCGTTCTATCGCCGCTATGGCGACCGAACATGGCTTCCTCGTCCCTCCCAACTTCAAGGAGGAGCCTCCTTCTGACGACGATATGAATTTTGCTTCGATTATCTGGGGTTTATCCCTGGGCGTCACCATCTTCAACTGCGGAAAAGCCATGCGTCAAACTCAAGCAGCAATCAGAAGGCGGAATCGATTAACTCTCTATATTATGTTTATTTGGCTCGAGGTCTGCTCCAGCACTGTTCTTGGAATAATGGTCTGGTTATACCTCCGTGGGATTATAAAACCGAGTTTCCAATATTACTTCTTTATCAGTACGTCACTCCCATTTTCCCACTTGTCACATACTGACTCTTTAGTCGTCTTTTGGTCGATACAGGTTCAATGTCTGATTCAAATTATCATCAACCGAGTCAGCCTGCTCATGGTTGTCCGTCGAAATGGAACCGTACTCAAGTGGACTTGCTTTGGAATCCTCTTGGCCATCAACATCAGCGTTTTCTGTGTTTGGATTCCTGCACGCCTTCAAATTAGTGAGAAGTACATACATGTCAACGAAATTTGGGACCGTATGGAAAAGGTCCTTTTCGCCATCATGGACGCAGCCCTTAACTTTTATTTTATTTGGGTTGTTAAGCAGCGTTTGGTGGCAAACGGTCTTCAAAAATACACCCGTTTGTACCATATGAATATGTTCCTCGTCGCAATCTCGATTGCCTTGGATGTAAGTTACGGTCCCTCAAACTCGGTTTGCCACCTTGCACTGACTTTATTCAAGATCCTCCTTATTGGAATGATGTCTTTACCAAACAGCTTCGTCTACGTCCAGTTTCACCCTCTTGTTTATCTCTGCAAACTTCACATCGAGATGAACATGGCAGACCTTATTGGCAAGGTTGTCCGAGCCGGCAACAACCAGGCAGATGGAACGCACGATTACAGCTCTCGCTCTCGAACTACTGTCAAAACTGGTACCCGACCTGCCGGAGCCAGTCGATTTGGAGGTGGTCTTACACGAACACATATCGAACTTGGCGAAGAAGATGAGATCGAACTCAAACATCGTGAGAACCTCGAAGGAATCAAGAAGACTGTCATTACAGAGGTCATTCGATCACCAAACAGCGAAGATGACGAAATCATGGAACATCACGAGAGAGCAGTCAGCGAGGCGAGCTCTACGAATGCTCGTCACGAGCCTTATAGTATTGAACATGCGAAATAAGCGATTTAACCAATGGATACTGGGAACTTAACATATACATGTATAATTAGAGAGATCTTCATCCTCTGTGTACCAACGATAGAATATAACGCAATTAATGGGATCTCGCAGATGCACCGTGAAAACTCTTCAAAGCTAATGATGTACGACTTGCTTATGACAGCGAGAAAGCAGGGTAAGTCCCTGTTGAAGGATTTCAGCTGGCCCCATACATCTGCAGGTCCCTTTGAGGATCTAATGCAGTCCCCGCAAAGCCCTGACCAGGATGGATGGACGAAGGGGATGCAACGCCACCAGATCAGGGTGTTTTCTGGGGTAACGAAGGCATCTTCCGCGTCTGGCGCTTGTAGCTGACGAGTTCCCATTGTCCGACTGTGACTGTGCAAGGATTAGTTTACATGGGGTTTGATACGAGTGCCAACTCATCCTCATTTTTGAAACTGCACGACTCATACCCCATCTCTCAACGTTGGCTACCAACAGCCTCACATACCAAAGACTTCATATTTCCCATCATATATCCTCTTCTCGGTCCCGAGTTTCTGTTGTCTGGCTCTTTCCGGAAATAAGGCTTCTTGGGAGAAACCGGATCTAAGCCTCTCGACTAATACCGCGCTTGCGTATCTTAGTTTCGCTTGCGGACGATGGGATGAACGATCCCTCAAAAAGGTATGGTCATGACGCTATCCAGAGATGGCATATACTAAGCTAGTTGGGATGATTAAAAGTTGGGGTAAAGTGAGTGATTGTAACAAGCAAATACTTTGCAGTCGACGATCTCGGTCTTGTCACCGTTCCCCGGACCCAAAATGTGAGAGCTCAGACATGAGGCAGTGGCTTCCTTTAGCAGACGCCACCGTCGTTAATAACGCCATACAGGGTCCCAGAACAACTTCACTTCCCGCAGGTTATTGGTCTCTTGCTGCCCAATGCTTCTGGATACCCCGTCAGATAATAGTACATACATATTACATTGCACAGCTCCTGTGATTCCGCAAAGGCCCCTTTATGTATCAAGTTTCCACACCCGTACATCAAACACACGAGTCACTCTCCGCGTGATAGTTTCCCCTGGTTCCATTGCCCAGCTACTCTCCATGTTATATAGCAGGAGAAAGTTTCAAAGTTTTGAGATCACACCAACTGCCTTGACAAAAACACTCAAAGTGACAAGATGAACTGCTCAAGGTTGATGGCCCTGGCCTCAACCTCGTCCAGATCCTTCCGATCAATACGCGCAAGCTCGATATGTGCTCGTATCTCAGCAACTTGTTTACCAATATCAACCAATGTCTTTCGATTCTTCGTGAACTGTTCAATCATCTCGGTGTGCATGTTTTGGATCTGCTTCGTCGTCTCTGTGTGCATCTTGCGCATTTCATCAGAAACACCCCGTTTCGATTCGGTTGTCACATTGGTAATGAGATCTTTCAACTCGAGGAACCGCTTGTTTGAAAGTGCAGTCTGGGCAGAGTAGTCCTCAGGAGAAGATTCGTCGCTAGCCAAGGATTCAATGTCTGCTTCGTACACAGCGCTAGGACTGGCGCGTAGCTTTGTGATATCGGGACCATAAGTAGATACATCTACTGGCGCATTACTGGACCTTGACTTCAGAAACTTGCTCTAAGAAGCACTGTGAGGTTCTCCAAGAACCATGCCTCGCATTTTCGACTCGACCTCCATCAAACGCCGGGCGGAAGACTTGTCAGGTTCAGTGGAGCGGAGCTGGTCCAGGTGAGGCCCGAATTTCGGGATTTGGGATACAGGATCGTCTAATAGGAAGTTAGTAACGAGAAAGCCATGCCCTGTAGTGCATGTCCCACCAAGGGTGTATTCCTCCTCTTTGAGGGACAAGTCGCTAGGGTTGATCTTATCATCTTCCTCAAGCATTTTCTTCTCAAAGCAAGGAGTCACAACCTTGAGCTCGAGTTTCCCGGCGGTGTGTTCCTCGGGAGCCATGCAGGCAGCGTTGGGAACAGGACCGGTGAAGGCACTGAGATCTATACCTGGATACTTTTCCATGAGAGCAAGTCTGAGAGCTGGAAGTTTCTGATCAGGGTATATGCATCGGAGGATAACCCAGAGTCCGAAGGTGATGTCGTGTTTGTAGAGTTTGTGTTTACTAGGGACCCTTCGGTTTGTATGGTTAGTTCGCACCTCAGGGAGGAGACGATAGATATGCATCTTGTCTTGAGGGCTCCATCCTGAGGCGAACATCTCGCAAACCTGTTTGAGTCGCCTGAGAGTCGCCTGGTCTTCGGGCTCTTGCGACAGCCAAAGCGAGGTCAAGTTTGGGAAAACCAAGTCTGCGACATTTTCGCGTGTTGACGAGGAAGCAGTCTCTTGTGCGCTCTGCTTTTCGACCTTGTGATGCAGTTAGTAGGGGTGTGTAGATGAGTAACTTGGGTATAGCTGTATTTATCGTACATGCTGGGTTGATTCCATCTTGCATGTGGACAGCGGCCAGTTGAGAGTTGGCGGAAGTTACAACACTTCAGAAATCAATCCAAATGCGAGAATTGTCCTCGTCAGAAGGCAAGATGATGGAGGAGGAGAAATCTAGAAACCAGTCTCGCATTCCTTTGTTTTTCTGTTGTAGTGACGCATCTATGTTTGCTATATTACCTCAAGTCGAAGTGGGCAGTGCTTGTCACTTGGCAAATGCTTTGCCACTACCTAGAGATCAAATAGATAGCCCGGTAATAAAAATTCATCGAACCCTAGATAGATAATTCTCTCATTGTCAGATCAAAAAAAGTTGACATGAATCTGACTGACAAAACCTAGTACTCACATCCTACACGTCAAAAAGACTCAGGTAAGTCATATAGGTAACTCGGTAGATTTCTAGATATCTACCTAGGTAAGCTATCCATGTAACTTAGGATTGAGGTCATAAGCTTGAGTTACTGCTTCTCCTAGGTGGTTTGGATACAAGAGATGCTCTTCTCATGAACTGCTAGAGCGTTGTTACCCAACATAGTAGCATCTGCTCTTCCCAGTTGATAGAAAGTCTATATGAACAGAATCCTCCTACCCATTGTGCCTCATGGGATCAAGATCAAAACAGCAACTGCGGTTCCCATATCTCAAGATTTGTCACGTTCTTCTCTCATTTCAAATCAAGACCATCCCTTAACATTCACAGGTCTATCTCTATTCTTCAATATAAACATCGTTCAACATGGCCCCACACCAAGAATCAGGAAAGCCCGACAAGTTTGGTCCTGTAATCTTTACAACAAGACTTGGCGCAGAGCATGGGAGAGTAACAAAGCCCTTGCATGGTGCACCGCTCTCAAGTCAGTACATTCAATTTGCAACTAGGTACCTAGGTATCCAATCTTAACCTCTAGAGCATCTAAAGACTCGACCATCATCACCGTCGCCACCCGGAGCCACGGAAGTGAAAGTCAAGGAGGAGATTGTCTCTCCTTCTGCCACCAACTTTCTGCCTTGGGGACCTACCCCTCGCACCACGAAGAGCTTGGGAGATTATCCTCGTCGTTCTGACCCCCAACCGTACACAGCAGCCTGGGCTCCACCCAATGCAAATCTGTCCCAGCCCTATCAGCCTTCGGCTGTACCTCTTCAAGCTCCTACGATGACATTTCCACCTCCGACAGTACCATATCAACCTCCGCCTGTGCCTTTTACATACTCAGCTGCACTAAATCGGTATCTCAACTCAAACGAAGTGTCTGGTGCCCAAAATAGCATATCACAGCGCCAGAACAATGATCAATTGAAACATATGCTGGAGAGGTATCAGGCTATAGCTCGCTCTATCAGATGGAACGCTGAGCAACTAGACCGCATGATTGCCTCATTATTAGGACCATTACCTTAAGCCTGAGCAGAAGTTTGCAGGGAAACCAGCGATGGGGAGAAACAGTTTCACCGCATGACATAGCTCATCTATAGCTTAAAAGGACCATTTATGATGTAGTGCTTCCCAAACTACTGCTGCTGATGTGAACAGAATAGATTTGAAACGTCTTGGAATTGATGAGTAGAATTTACCAGACGAATATGACTAGGTATCTTGGCATTCCAGTTTCCTTGAGTACCAGAACATCACCTCATCCTTCTCTCACCAACGTTGAGAATTGGCTAGCCCAACGACCTTGAAGCTGCACTTGCCCGGCTATTTTCCCTTTGTCGCTGCTGAAACTCCAAGATAGGTGAATACTGGCTACTAAAGCGGTTGTCTGAGGCTCGTGAAGTGCCAGCCAACACAGCCAACCTTTCCAGTTGCTGGCATGGCGAAATAACTCAAGCAAACGAAGGGAAACGGTCATGATCGATACGTGTGGCTATGGTCTTGTAACGAGATACGGCTACACAACCCGAAGATTATGAGTATTGCTATAGTGTCATAAACTTAAGAGGTTACGGCAAGGCTCAGATTCAATTCATTAGACACGCAGCAGGTATTACTTTTCATTTCCCTTAAATCTCAGAGTCTGGCTATTGAATAACGGATAGACTTTCACAGCCCCCTTCTTCTCTAGCAGTAACGTTTCCCCAGGCCCCCAAGTGTCTCCAATTCGAGCTTCCACCCCCATCACGGCAACCTTCTCCTAGCTTTCGGCCCGTCCACCGGTCAAGTCCGATTTTGACGATCTCGATACCCCTAGACCTTCTAGAAACGGTCTACCCCTCAACTCAAAAAGGTTCTCTCACAAGCGAAAATAGAACATTCTGGGTTTGAGGCGTAGAATGATCTGGCGGATATAACGTTTGGGGTAGAAAAAGATCGAAGTCATGTTACCCACTTGCCTTGTATGGAAGGAATTTGTTGCTCCGTGCATTATTCCCGGAGGTTAGTCCAGCGCTTGGCTAGGACCTGGGCTTGGCGCAGTTTTTTTCGTCTTCGGCTTGAAAATTTGCTAAACACCATCGTGAACGGATGAGGCCGTTGTCGGAGAAAGAGGTTCTCACTTTGACTCATCCATTTCACTAGTTCAGTATCGTGATACTCATGCGCCAAAAGTCTGCCAATATGGCTTCAACCTATCAATGTCTCTTGTGCAGCCTGATCTGGCAATTCCTTATCTCCCAAGCCTCGTTATCATTCCCCGGCATGGGAACTTATCTCTTGACCCCGGAATCCCCAGAGTTTGAGTCTCGGTAGAATGATCAGAGATAAGGCTAATGCTCTTCAAATCCGGGCAGCTCTGCAATTGGGCCATACACTTGCCTTATCTCTCAGACTGTTGGATGTCCTACATACATGTCTTGCATATAGTCTATTTGGATATGAGACCATTTCTGGGATACAGATGACAGACAATACATTGAACTACGAGACAGAGGTTGGTCACATGATCGAGCTCTGCTTCGCACGCTATAGAAACAACTACATGCTTGTTTTTGTATGTGCATCATCTATGTAGAACTTATCGATTGACCCAGGAGATGTCTGGCATACACGAATGCAAGTGATTGAATTGATTCAGGCCACCAGCAGCCATAAAAATATGTCATGTGGAATCTGGTTCGACGCTCAGGAAGGAGTGTCTTTCGGAGAACAAACCAACGTTATTCCCGGACAGGCAATGTCCAAGTGTAAGAGTTCGAGGGACCAGTGGCATCAGGACTGCATTGAAACCAGCTGGTGTGCATTGAAGTGAATTCCCATTGCTAAACTGGCATCACGGCTAAGGCTAAGCACCCTCTGTAACATCGCAAATGGAAAAGTCGTATGTGTTCTCATATCATCTTGTCGGCTAAGCTAGACATTGAAAAGTGAAGTATTGTTTATGACCAGTCTATTCGTGATGGCACGTTTCTCTTGAACGTCCCAAGAAACAGTCGATTGATGCACGGACGTGGCCGGTCGAAGATTTTAGGCACATGACGCACAGGCCCCTGACATCCAGAGAGGTCACTGTCGGCAGAGAAACAACCCTGGGTGTACGTGTAATTGCAAGGATACGGTTCAAACTTCAAGGTACCGTAAGCACTGTGTGAAAACAGAGGAGCCTCAAGCCCGCCAAATCGCTTGGCTTATTATGAGAAGGACAAGTGAGAGCACCTTACAAGGCAGACAAGCTTAAGCCAACTGTCTCGAGGCGTGGACATCACGGAGTTGTGTTCCGCATATTAAATTGTTGTCGGGTACTGTACCGACCGTCAGTAGCTACAGTATTTGCCGCCCAGCCGGCCGAGCTCAGACCAACGCCGAAAGACAAATTTTGGTACGTGACGATCGATCTGGAAGTAAGTTCATGCGAATTGAGCCTCATCGACTAATGGGCGTCGATCGCTCACCGTTACAGCTTTTGGTTGCAACCGTGCTGAAGCCAAGCTCAAGCTTTATTGCAATTATCTCGTCAAAACATCTGCCGTGGAGCCTAAGAGCCCAACTCGTTGTCTTTGTTGATGCCAGATGGGTCTTTGTTGAAGGCTATTGCATGTTTGTGACTCTGCTATCCCAGACCGCTTCGATTTATTGGTTTCAGGAGTCGTGATGTTAGGTACTGAACACTCCTTGCATTTTCGTTTGTCGGAATGAGACGCTTCACATCGGAACGCTGAGAGAACAAGACGGGCCGCCAGATCGCCGTGAAGTGGAAAGGTCCTTGTCAAGGGAGTTCCGAATCCACCTGAAGTCTCAACTCGTCTTGTGATGCTCCAGGCCCCATTGTAAAGGAGGATCCAATGGTATAATTATAGCGTAAATTTGCACCTTGTTCCAATGCGGCTCAAAACTGGCCCACGCGTTTGTCTGTGCAAATGAAGGAAAATTTTCTAGAGGCGTGTAATTAGTAAGATGGTCGTGCACAAAGCTTCTATCACGCAAATGTTTATTCCCAGCTGAGTTCAAGGGTCGCCGAGGAACAATCTTGGATAGTTTTCCATGATGCGATGGTCTATCGAAAATGGTGCAAGTAATGGCGAATATTTCTTGTTAACCGCGAAATTGTTTACACCTGAAAAATGCTACAAACCAGCCATTGAGAAACGAGGACCAGCAGCAAATTCTAGAAGCTGAGGCCGGAAAACACGTTGCGCTGGTTTGAGCCGTGATTGCACCATCGTGACGGCGCCCTTCCCGAGATGTCGACGTACCAAGGTCACTGACAGGGCTGAGGAGTGAACGCGCAAGGACTTCCCACGATGGGCACGGGCTGCGAATTGAATGTTGGCTTGTTGTTCAGGGGGGCTCCAACTTTTAGGTAATGGCTGAGGCACTGTATGGCTGGAGACCAATGCATGATCTTCAGGAACGGGCAATGCGTTATATGTTTGTACCCTGGCATAGAAGCGAGGCTCCTTGAATCGAATCAATTTTTAGTCAAGAGCCGCATCATCTGAGATGAGGCTCTCTTGCTTCGGTCTCGGCCGACGATTTTGGTGGTGTGCACAGTGGTACTTGGTGATCTCGTGTTAGTCAAGAACGTGGCATGAAGACGAGTTAACGAATCAACAGTGACCTCTTGCGTAAGTGAGAGAGCTTGAGTGTGTGTGGGACTTCAACTTGTGGCGATTTACAGTACCAAAATTGATGCCAAGCTGGTGTTGCTGCTCCACTTTCAACTACACGAGCTGACGAGGGCATCTAGAATCAATCCCTAGAGACTTCCGTGAGTGTTCGATTTTGGAGGCGGGGAGTCTTTTGGCGCTTCCTCGGGGTAGGGAGTAGCCGCGGCTAACAAGCGGGCGCCGGAAGCTTTGTTATGCGTCTATGCATCAGATTTCGGGAGTTGTTGATGAAGAATAGAGTTCAGGAAGACGAAATAAGATCCCCACCAACTCGGTTTACACAGCAATTGCATTGCTGTAATGTCGTTCCGTTTCATGTCTGAGTTTGACACGATATGATTAGGATCTCGATTTCGAGTATTTCAATATCGACACAGTGGGTGACGCAAGTTGCCTCAACATGATGAACTCAATGTGTATGCTGTCGATGTATCGAAATAGGTGTGTATAAACCGTGTATCAGACCAAGCAACATAGTTCAACCACGTGTATCGACCAAGACCAGTCAGTCACTGATGCTGATACAGTCGTTAATTACGGAACGTTTCTCACCGGGTAACGGTGACATCCAGCAAGGTGAATCCTACCCTGCAATGGTGAGAAAGACTCATTTTCAAGAACCCTGATGATGGGTCAAAATTGCTTCACGATGCCACAATAGGCGGTTTGACTGGGGGCGTGTGATCTGAATCTCCCCTAAGATACCAAGCCAATTGGGCGTCATGGTGGACAAGATCCAAGGAAATCCGTTTCTGATGCTTGACCCATCTCCAAAAAAAGCTTGGTCTCTTTTCCAGGTCGAAGTTTTGAATCAAGAAACGACAGCCCAAGTTGGTTTAGTTTTGGAGTCAAGGAGCAGATGGTCAGTTCTCTCAGAGATTTTCCCAGGATCTTGGGGTGTCGATGACACCGTTAAACCTGGAACTTCTTGGAAGCTGAACGGAAGGAATTTGCTTGATGGAAAGAATCCACATTAGGATACGTACCTGTCGCGTATAAGTTTTTCATTGGTCAAGTTCCAGCCGCGGTCACCTCTTGGCTTCTCTCACCTTAAGATACGGTCAGCGACGTCCACTTGACTGTAAGAAAAATCTTCATCTTGTGGAGACATTTCCCCACTGTGTCTCTGCCGTTTTTTTGCAGTAGGAATAGCCTTTCAAGGGATGGTCCACACCGTGCGCATTGGAACTTCATGATATAATAATTGCAGCGTCCAATACGTAAATCTTTGATCAGAGACAGCCGCATACCGTTTTTACTTAATGGATCGGACTTATTGTGGAACCAGCTCAAAAGAACTCCAAAATGTTCTCTTTTTCTCTCCTCTAGGCCTGGCTTTGTTCAGTGGGACCGGGACCGGAGATGGAAATCATCACACCTTGCTTTACCTGTAACTGACGAGAGTGACAACGAGGTTAGTGACTTTCATGGTTAATTGATGATGTCCACATGATTCATAATGCAAAAGTGAATGCATTTCTTTACCCCAATGCAGCTCCAATTTCATAGTCCACCGTTCAGAACATCTCCGAATTGTTCAGCCACATAGAGTTTTGATCAGATAAGTCCATCATGTATTATTGCTACTGTACCGATATCATCTACCGGTAGTTACGAAGCTTAAACTCTGAGTCGACTGAGGCTTGATCCCGTGCTGATCTCACTGAACTCTCAGACATAAGTTAAGTTGGCACTGCATTCTCGTATGTTAATTTGCCCATTGCCGCTCGTTTCCGTTGGCCGACATTCGGAGTTGGCCCTACCAGGCCTCTCAGCCTATAATTGCCCTTTCTGGGCAATACAACTCACAGGGATTGGATGATGTGTTTCGTTTGGTTCTCTTCTCTTCTCTTCTCTCTGCTAGCAGTGTTACCCACAGGGGTCCTTACTTGTAAACAGCACCTGATGTTCCTCTCGACAGGGCATTCGAGCGCATACACCGCTTATAATAAAGGCTTCAGAGGGTGTCATGTTTGCTGAAGTAGGCATCCACTTGAAATGTCCTGAAGAAGAAATCAACACATTAGTTTTGGAGTAGGAAAAAATATCCATTCCTGTTCCCGTCGGGTTCCATGACTCTATGGCGTATAATCTCCCCGAAGGCTTTCCGGAGAAGTTTTTAGTGAAGTCTAGCGCTGGAACTGGAAATTTACAGCGCTACGGCCACTAACCGCGTCGGACTGTTCGACAATCTTTCCATCAGTGCTGTTGCTTAGCTGCACGTGGCCGTGGTATACTGTGCCTGCCATTCCCGAGGTTGGGTAAATTTCCAGATTTCCGAGGATAGACCTCAACACCGAGGAAAGCACATCATCACGAAATAAGCATCAACGAATTCCATCGTACTTATTGATATGCGGCAATGGCGTAGTTTGGCATTGATAATCAACAAATTGCTTGTCTGGGAAATAGCATCTGACGAGACGTGGGCAGCCCAAGACTGGCTGGTGATGTGCTCTGCCGCGTCATGTGCCGCTGCATCGAATCATATTTTGCTGGGCTGATGCTGGTTTCTGATCCCTTTGAGGACCAGAAGGCACCACCAAGGTATTTTTATGGGGCATGCCCCAGTATTAATTGGCTGCTGATCAATGCGCCACAGCTACCAGCCTTAAGGTGGCAGAAGAGTAAGAGTTCGAGTTCTGATCTGCATATTGCAGTATCTAAGGTACCTTAATCTATACTGATTATATAGGTAAAAGGAGGTCCCCTTAATAGTAGGCTATTGATTGGTTAGAGGCTTTGTAAATACTTTTGTGGTGCCTTCTGGTCCTCAAAGGGATATTGCGGCTAGTCTTCTCGATCCTTTCCGTCAGTTGTTCCCGAGGAAAACTAACACTGACACTGCCTAGGTTAGTGAGATCAAATCATCAAAGGGTCCCCTTGATCAACCCTGTGCGCCCTGTGGCTTACCGGGCCGGTCTTCGGCCTGCTACGCCGATTCTCACTGAGAACTCATGAGACTAGTGTGCGTCTAGAAAAAACAGACTCACTCGGAGACATGGCCCGTCTGATCTTCAGTGCACAGTAAAGAGCCTGCGGGTGCTTTGCCGAGACAGATCAGGAGGACATGCATGGACAGAAGAAAACAATGGCTGGCTAGGCTGGGTTGCTGCATGAAGGTACACTTCGTTCAACTAACACAGTTCACTAACGTCCGTCACCCAAAGACTGGCCACCCCCACAGACCGGCCACCCCGACCAAAACACCAAGAACCGGATATCATGATCAATTAACTAATTA